GAATGAATGAATGAATGAATGAATGAATGAATGAATGAATGGATGAATGGATGGATGGATGGATGGATGGATTATAAAACAGTTAATTCCAGGAACTAGCCTTTAGGAGCTTTGACTAACACTGTTTATTAGAAGGAAAGTTGAGGTTACTACAGTGACTGTATGTCCCTTCTTGTAAAGGACAGTCCTTAATTTCAGAATTTCAAAAAGCTTTCAGACTTGCAAGATGGATATCAGCCTTCCCAGGTAGAGCAGACAGGAAACATGATCAGATGAGCTAATTCTACAGAATCTTGCAAGTCTGAAAGTACAATCCTCCTCCCCCGTCTCCTTTACAGCCTGAGAAACTAGGGAGGGTCCCTTCTGAGTCTTCTTCTCCGCCCATTGTGCAGCTGTGGGCTATGCCCTCTCTTATCTGAGCATTCCCTTGGCAATTTCTCTTGGCCCCATCTCCCAAGGTCTTTCCCACATACCATTATACTATCCCACTTTGCAGATGAGTTTTGGAGATTGTGGGCTTCCGAATCAAACACAATGCCCTTTTCCCACGATGGGCATGGTCCCCTGCTAAACCAAACTAAGGGTGCCTCTAGATCTCAGATGTTCCCCTGAACACAGCAGGGATTTCAAAATGCCTCTCTCCCCACGCTCTTGATCTTCCGCAGGCCCCGAGCCACGTCTACGGAGGCCACGGCAGCCACGTCACCAATGTCCGCTTCACCCACGACGACGGCCACCTCATTTCCATGGGGGGCAAGGACACCAGCATCTTTCAGTGGCGGGTGCTAGGGGGCAGCCCACCGGTTAGCCGCTCCCTCTCCTGTGTTTCCTCACATGAAGCTGGGGCCAGCACCTGAAGCTGTGGAAAACTGGCACGGAAAACTCAAGGACGGCGGCCAAGCCTTCATGGAAGCACTCGGAGAGATCTCCTGCATTTTGATTGCACCCCGGGAATGGAAGACCACCTCGGGGTGGATCCTTAGGAATGGCTGGAATCCCTGGCTCACTGGAGAACTTCCTTTGCTAACCGTGTCATTTGCTTTCTTAACATAAGGTGAGGGGCAACGGGAAGCGCGGTCTGATGTAAGATGCAGAAGAGCGAGCCCTGCGAACGGAAATGCAACCCTTGGACGTGGTGCGTTGGAAAGGCTGTTTCTGACATGGTGGGCTGGGAGGACAGAGGGACCGCAGGCGGGTGGAGAGGAAAGGTTTGGGAGAACTCGGCTCTGGGGTTTCATTGGCTTTTGCTCCGCACACGCCTCCAAAGTCCTGGATTTTGGAAGCCCAGAAAAGGTGAGGAAATGGATTCATCATCTCCATCATCGTCATCATCACCCCTGTTCCCCACTCCCTGTACAGCAACCCCCCACTTCTGTGTTCCCAATCATTTTGGCCATGGCTGGCCCCAAGGTGTAAATAGGAGTGCACGAAGGAAGGTTTTAATATTCGGAGAGAGAAATAAAATTTTGGCATCTCAAATCCCGACGGGAGTTTCGTCGTCTTTTCTGCCGGACTTGGGTTTGGCAAGGCAAGGCTCACCCAGCCTAACTGCGGAGGAACGTAGCAGGTTTGATGTATTGTCGAAGGCTTTCACGGCCGGCATACGATGGCTGGTGTGGGTCTTCTGGGCTGTGTGGCCGTGGTCTT